AAAAAAAAAAAAAAAAAAAAAAAAAATAGCAACATGAGAATGGATTAACACAGGTCCAATTCTGGCCACCCCTAACCTCCCAAGCCATTGGAGTTGACTTCCTGGGCAGTCTTAATATGATTACCCCTCCCACTCTCCAGTTGTCAAGGCATATCTAGGCTTCATGAACTGCTGACTCGAACCCTGGATTGGGGTACAGGAAAATTCTTATCAGAGGCTAACTAGAGATACTTGCTTCTCTCCAGGATCTCTAGAACCATTTCAATACTTTGAAATTTTTTACCTTCAGACACTGGGTAATGAATGTTAAGTACAAAATATTACTGGGTATTGTGGTTAACTAGGAATAATAGAGCAGAAGATTATGACCCATTTCAGCCCATCCTAAAATTCACATTTTATTGCATTTAGGGTTGGGTCCAGAAAGGAGATCATCACTTAATTTTAGCAAGTCCCAAAACATAGTTGTTTTGACTTTATGTGAAACTACAAGTTACTGATTATACTGTGTAATTTATATTTGAGCCTACTGAATGATGGTTCAAGAAAACTTGCAAATCTGATACCACAGTGAGATATTTAATGTTTAATGTAACTTTTCAAGATGATGAAATCAATTACTCAGGTAGTAGAAGAAATTATTGCCATGTAGTATAGATAACTGCTTATTTTCTATAATCACCTTTGTGATATTAAGCAGCCTCATCAGCAGCTCCTTTTATACAATTTCATTTTATCATATACTGATCTCCACTATAAGACACGATTTTCTTGTGGTGAATTTATGTTAAGGTACTTACTTGAGTTCTCTGCTGAGAACTAAATTAATTCTACCCTTTAAAGGTCGATTCTTCTCAGGAATGGAGAACCAAGTCTTCTTACCCATAATCACCAGATTCTGTTTACCTATAAAATCACAAAGCCTAAGTATATTTTGGGAATACACATGTATTTTCATATATTTATATACAACAAGTCCTTGAATAACATCGTTTTCTTCTAACATTGATGAGAAAAATAATCAATTCCTGGCCAGGGCCACTGTCTGTGTGGAGCCTGCATGGAGTTTCTCCAGGTACTCCAGTTTCCTTCCACATCCCAAAGACATGCACATTATTATTCTTAAATGTATGTATAGCGCATATTTATTTCAGTGTTTAATATTAGAAGTGTTTTCGGCCTTCATTTAGAAGTTTGGTGATGTTTTTGTGACCAGCAATATGCCCTAGGAACTTAACTCTTGTGTACATCAAGTAGCCTATGGTAAAATTGGTTTTGCTATACATTGTTTCACTTAGAGTCACAGTTTCCAAGAACTCATAGATGACGTTAAGTGAGGACTTAGTGTAGGTATGTGCATAGATATGACTGACATCCTGACATTTAGTGGCTCTCCTTTAAAAAAAATAAACTTAAAAGTCTTACCAAAATTCATACTTATCACTTATTGCCTAAATATAACTATTTTTCCCTTTGGCATTATCCAATTTATATCCAATATTTACTTTTAATCAATTGCAATTGTGTATAACATAGTAATGAGTAAAGATTCTGGGGAGGCAGAGGCAGGCGGATCGCGAAGTCAGGAGATCAAGACCATCCTGGCTAACACGGTGAAACCGCGTCTCTACTAAAAATACAAAAAATTAGCCGGGCGTGGTGGCAGGCGCCTGTAGTCCCAGCTACTCCGGAGGCTGAGGTAGGAGAATGGCGTGAACCCGGGAGGTGGAGCTTGCAGTGAGCCGAGATTGCGCCACTACACTCCAGCCTGGGAGATAGAGGTGAGACTCCGTCTCACAAAAAAAAAAAAAAAAAAAAAATTCTGAGTCAAAGTGCTCAAGTTGAATGCATTTTGTCATCCACAAGACAAATCGTGTTAACCCCTTGTGGATTACTTTCTTTATCCATAAAATAGAGATAACAATAGTTCCTGCTTCTAGGGTTGTTGTGGGAATTAAAGACTTAGAATAATGTTCAGCCTCTAATCAGTACTGTCAAAACTGTGATATAATTGTATTATTCATATTTGTGTACTTTGTAGATTGATATTAAATCATACTTTTAAAAATAGCTGCTTAATGTTCCACTCAATTGCCTTAAAACATGTTTAATTATGTCTCTATCCTATTCTTTTAACGCTTCTATAAAACTTTTTACATATAGCGTCCACTTCGGGTCAATTTCTTAGGAGAATAACTTTGAGACTCAGCTATCTGAACCAAAGAAACATCAACATTACTAGACCACACTGGGATTTTTGAGAGTGGCTTTTATCATTTCTTTAGCTATGGGCTTTCATCATCATCTCTACCAGTGACCTAAGTGTCAAATCCAAATGCCTTGTATCTGTCCCATTCAAGAGCTGCAGCATCTGCTCCTTTCTTACTGTTTCTGTTTCCTCTGCCATGCCTCCTCTTACAACCATAAATATCCAGGTCTCTTAGGTTTTAAACGGGACATCTCTCAACCCCCACATTCTTTTCCTTGGTTATTCCCTTCCCTCCAATAGTTCATTCACCTAGATCCCCGTGCCTGAAATTATCCTAGATGTCCTAGAGGCGCCTCATCATTACAATGGTACA